GGTTGTAAACTAAAGGTGAAAGATTAAGTGTGTCTAGTGTTGGTTCATCTTCTAACGGTAAATCTCCACTGTTGGTTCATATTCTTGGGTTGTAAACTAAAGGGGAAAGATTAAGATTCATCTTCTAACGGTAAATCTCCACTGTTGGTTCATATTCTTTTGTTGTAAACTAAAGGTGAAAGATTAAGTGTGTCTAGTGTTGGTTCATCGTCTAACGGCAAATCTCCACTGTTGGTTCATCTTCTTTGGTTGTAAACTAAGGGTGAAAGATTAAGTGTGTCTAGTGTTGGTTCATCTTCTAACGGTAAATCTCCACTGTTGGTTCATCTTCTTGGGTTGTAAACTAAGGGTGAAAGATTAAGTGTGTCTAGTGTTGGTTCATCTTCTAACGGTAAATATCCACTGTTGGTTCATATTCTCGGGGTAAACTCTAGGCAGGAAAGGCTAGGTAGGTATAGTGTTAATTTTCTTGGGTTGTAAAGTAAGTGTGAAAGATTAAGTGTATCCAGTGTTGGTTCATCTTCTCGAGTTAAACTCTATGCGTGAAAAATTAGGTGTGTCCAGTGCTGGTTCATCTTCTTATGGTAAGTTTCCACTGTTGGTTTATCTTATCGGAGTAAACTCTAGAAGTGAATGATTAGATAAGTCCAGTGTTTCTTCATTTTTAGGGTTAAAAACTAAAAGTGAGAGAGTAGTTATGTCCATCTATATCATAAACCCTGTGCAAACATTATCAATGAATTACTTACATCTTATAAACAGAAAAAAAAAGGGTTCACTAAAAAGGGTTTCTTTTCTAAAATTACTTAATTATCTAGAAAATATTTCTTTCACGAAAAATTAATTTTGTTATCTGTATACTTCTTTTAACTTTCTTTTCGACAATTTATCAAAAAAACGGAGTTCAATTAAATATTGTACTCCATTTCTAGTAGCCGTCAGCAATTTCAAGTACTTAAAACTATTTTCTCCGTAAATCCTGATGTATGTTCTTGAGTTTCATGCAAAACTCCAGAAGTAGGCTGATTGAATATTCTTAGAACGTGTAAGAAAACGTATTTACATAAATGAGTTAGGAAGAAGAACGTCAGCAATTTGTCATAATACTGCCTTTTTTATTGATTTTATTTAGATGAACAGCAATCAGACGGATTCTGGACCTACCGTAAGTTCAAAGCAGAAACTTTCTATGCTTCATGATGTTGAGTCCTTAGATGACCGTTTCACCACTGCACTTTCTTCTCCAGAGTTACCAGACATAGAACCATCAGTTATCACAACAGATTGTTTGGAAATCTTAGTGGACTTTGGCCAAATCGATATGGATCATACTTCCAGTTCGGCTGCAGCAGATACGAGTTTCGTACTAGGAGGTGACGCAGGAGTGGTAACTTGCGTGAGAGATATCTCTAGTGGTGATCCTTATGTGGACATCAGTGAAGACACGGTTCTAATTCCTGAAGAACATGCGCAAAAAGTGTTGGACATTGACGATCCTTTCACATGTCTAATACCTAAATATTCTTCCACTGACAGCGAAACTGGGATTGAGCCTGGGTTGTGTACTCACCTCTTAGAAACAGACAGACAAGTACCTTCTTACAATATTCGGCAGCCTCATCGGATGCACGGAACACTTCCTAGCTACTCCCCTAGGATCGGGCAACTGACCGTAGCCAAATGTCCATCTATATTTTACCTACACTGGAACTGGGCTGCTATTCGGCTAGGATGTTTCGTGATGCTTGTGTTCACTATGGTCAGCATGTTCTGCGTGGTGATTAGGTTAGTCGCTTCGAACGAAGCGGGCAGTGACTTAAGGAGAGGCTGGTGGCAAGGAACAGTGTCATACGAAATCTTCCCTGCTTCATTCCAAGATTCGGACAGTGATGGGTTTGGTGATCTGAGGGGTCTGATACAAAGATTGGATTACATCCAAAGTTTGAATGTTGCATCAGTCAGGCTCAATTCGATTTTCAGTGCGTTAGATTATCCTTTAGAATACACTCATATTATTGATTTTCTTAGAGTAGACCCACACCTAGGAAGAATGAGCGACTTTGATCTGCTCGTGAAAGATTTGCATGCAAGAAATTTGCGTCTTATTTTGGATATTAATCCCTCACTGACAAGTGACCAGCACACTTGGGCTGCCCATTGGCTTCAGAACAGTAGTGGTCAATACAGATATTATTATGTGGGTAATGAAACGTTGGTAAGTTTAAGTATAGTTTTTTGTATTACAATACTAAAATTAGTTATAATACTTAACAATTGTCAAGATTTACCCTGATTTTAGCAGAAAAGTAGTTATGTAAATGAATATACATTCGAACACAACCGATTCTATTCGAACAATTTACCAAAACCATTATTGTAAGTCTAATTTCTGTAAATACATTAACGAACATTTACGCCTCAATACATGTACAAAAATTCATCGTTTTTATCATAAAAATCGTAATGCTACAAAAATATGCTCAAGCTCAAAATCAACTAATGTATATATGTTTTCTTATTTGAACACACAGTAAGTAGATCGTGTTGCATAGTGCACAGAGAAAGTCGTTGAAATTTCAAACCTCCATAGTTTCTGTTCTTCAGAAATCTGCGGGTCGCGGGTTCGAATCCCCGTTACACCAAACATGCTCGCCCTTTCAGCCGTGGGGGCGTTATAATGTGACGCTCAATCCCACTATTCGTTGGTAAAAGAGTAGCCCACGAGTTGGCGGTGGGTGGTGATGACTAGCTGCCTTCCCTCTAGTCTTACACTGCTAAGTTAGGGACGGCTAGCGCAGATAGCCCTCGTGTAGCTTTGCGCGAAATTAAAACAAACAAACACACACATATATATATATATATAAATGGCTAAGAACGCTTATAAATAAATTCATTCTAAAATAAAATTTTTCAAAGTATTTTCTTAACGACCGTAGATATTAATGAAGTCCTGGAAGTTATCTTATCTTCTTGAATGACCAAAGGTACTAGATGACTAGAAAAAAATACATATCACTGTCTTTAACTGGGGATTATTTTTAGTGAATATTTTACACACCAGAACTACAGCTCGCATCGGACCTTTTTATTCAACCCCGAATTTAATAGACTATTTTGCTCAAATGTGATTAACTGATATAGGATATAACGGCAGGGACGTTAGATGTGGGGGGAGCGTTGCGCCCCCACCTCAAATCAGATCATAAAAATAAAGCATCAGTTTTAGTACAATCCATTGCCAGGCCACGTGTTATTGCATTTTCGTTTTAGAAAAGTTCCAAAAGCGTCCAAGGCTGTTGACGTTTGAACCTTGTTAGAATTTGCCCACTACCCCAGCAAAAATAACTAAAATAACGTTGCTCTGCTGTTATTATTATTGTTTGTTTGTTATGAATTTCGCGCAAAGCTACACGAGGACTATCTGCGCTAGCCGTCCGTAATTTAGCAGTGTAAGACTAGAGGGAAGGCAGCTAGTCATCTCCACCCACCGCCAACTCTTGGGCTACTCTTTTACCAACGAATAGTGGGACTGAGCGTCACATTATAACGCCCCTACGGCTGAAAGGGCGAGCATGTTTGGTGGAACGGGGATTTGGTGGAACGGGGATTCGAACCCGCGACCCGCAGATTACGAGTTGAGCGCCCTAACCACCTGGCCATGCCGGGCCCCCGTTGTTATTACACGGCCACAATGTAATGGACTGATTTGATTACGAATGATTGCGAGCCACCCATTACCATTTCTAGTGATTTTACATGTAATTCATTTTCCACGTCCAACAGATCTTATTGTTGTCTTTCAGTAATATTTAGCAATCTGGCCTTTTATTCCAATTTTGAATCCATGCCATATGAATCCATGCATCAAGACTGTCAACATCGCTTTGAGTTTATCAAGCAATCAAAATAATGAGCAACTATTACAGATCGATGTACTTCCCTTCCATTGTGGTCTTCAAATCATCTTTGGTCGGGTTTTAGTTTATCTTTATCCCTTGGGAATCGTTTTTCTGATTCTTACTTTTACGCATCATTAAACTACGCACACTACTGCTACACTTCCTAACATAATGAATTCACTTCGGTATTATTCGTGATAAATACTTAATAAATAAAAAAAAGAGAAGAAATTGAAATTTGTAACCTAAGCAAAGATAGTCAACCAGCAGCACTGGCTGACACAAGTACTTTGTCCGGTTCTTGGAGACAAATTTCGTAATTAACTATCACATTTATAACACGCTTACAGCTGAAAGTGCGGAGCGTATTAGAAAAAATTAAGTTTGAGAAATGTTTAAACCCCACCTCCATCTTAGTGAAACGCATAGATATATAGAGAAAGTTATCATCCTTGTGGAATAGCGTGGACATTATAGTAGTAAGAAGAAATAATATGTAAATATTAACTTTAATAAACTATTTGGCATAAGAGATACGTTCGTTGTCGTATTTTCTACAGTAATAAAGTATATCAAGTCTTTAATTAACCAAAATATTTGTTTTATCATTATCAATAGCAAGTTTGATTTTTCAAATAATCACACTTCTTGGTTTCGTATATTTACATAATGTACATAAAAGTTGTTACTTTTTTATACATTTTTAAGGTGGGGGCGGAAACCCAAACTTTCCTTGTTCGCTTTCCATTACGAACAATAAATCATGCTAAATGTAATCTTTATATCTTTAACCTATTTTAAAAACATCCATCACATGTGACACAACATCAAAGATTCATTTTTCTTTTGTTTTATTTTGTCTCAACCTTTATATTTCAAGATAACGAAAACACTTCAGAACGAGTACCCGACCGTTATCAGATTTAAATCAAAGAAGCTATAAAGTCCTGTGTTTTAAGATTACTTATTAGAATCTCCGCTATAACAAAATGAAATGGAACTATTTGACTGTATGCCTATTTCATTGCATCTATACACATGTATACCAACAGCTGTTTTAGGAGTTAAGGATACAATGAAAAGAAAAATATCCTGTTTTGGACGAAATCAAATTAAGATATTCGAAAACTTAATCGGGTTACCACTCCTCACATAATTGCAAGTCTGATAAACGTGTTCATTGTGATTGTAATAGGTAAAGAAAAATAAAGAAAATAATATTGGAGAATGCAAATGAATTTTTACTTGGATAAATACTTTCAAGAGCACATTTATCGATCGCCTTTAAAAATGCCGTAATCGTAGCAATAAATATACATTTCAAACAAACAAACTCAGTCATTCCTAACTCTACAATTTTCAATAATAGATTTCAAAGAAACAAACCCAGTCATTCCTAACTCTAGAGCGTTTCGATAATAGATTTCAAACAAACAAACCCAGTCATTCCTAACTCTAGAGCGTTTCGATAATAGATTTCAAACAAACAAACCCAGTCATTCCTAACCCTACAGCGTTTCGATAATAGATTTCAAACAAACAAATCCAGTCATTTGTAACTCTACAGCGTTTCGATGATAGATTTCAAACAAACAAACCCAGTCATTCCTAACCCTACAGCGTTTCGATAATAGATTTCAAACAAACAAACCCAGTCATTCCTAACTCTACGGCGTTTCGATGATAGATTTCAAAGAAACAAACTCAGTCATTCCTAACTCTACAATTTTCGATAATAGATTTCAAAAAAACAAATCCAGTCATTTGTAACTCTACGTCGTTTCGATGATAGATTTCAAAGAAACAAACCCAGTCATTCCTAACTCTACAATTTTCGATAATAGATTTCAAACAAACAAACCCAGTCATTCCTAACTCTACAATTTTCGATAATAGATTTCAAACAAACAAACCCAGTCATTCCTAACTCTACGGCGTTTCGATGATAGATTTCAAAGAAACAAACCCAGTCATTCCTAACTCTACAATTTTCGATAATAGATTTCAAACAAACAAACCCAGTCATTCCTAACTCTACGGCGTTTCGACGATAGATTTCAAAGAAACAAACCCAGTCATTCCTAACTCTACAATTTTCGATAATAGATTTCAAACAAACAAACCCAGTCACACCTAACTATACGCCCCCAGTGGCACAGCGGTATGTCTGCGGACTTACAGCGTTAGAATCAGGGTTTCGACACCCGTGGTGGGCAGAGCACAGATAGTCCATTGTGTAGCTTTGTGCTTAATTACAAAACAAACAAACAAATCCTAACTCTACAGCGTTTCGATAATAAATTTAAAAGACTCAAACCCAACCATTCCTTACTTTACAGCGTTTCGATAATAGATTTCAAACAAACAAACCTAGTCATTTCTAACTTTACAGCATTTCGATAATAGATTTCAAACAAACAAACCCAGTCATTCCTAACTCTACAGCGTTTCGATAATATATTTCAAACAAACCCAGTCATTCCTAACTCTACAGCATTTCGATAATTGATTTCTCATTAAACAACTATTTTATTCAGTCGGTTTTAGTTTCTAAACCGAATATTTGTATATTTAAACTAAAGTAAATTTAAAATGGGTTAAAGGCATAAAAATTACCTTTAGCATGATGTATTGTTCGTCATGGAAAGGCAAACAAGGAAAGTTTGCCCCCTCATTTCTGCTTCACAAGCGACATCTGTTACTTTCATGTTTTTTCTTATTGTTTACAAGTTTGTTGTTGTTTTTACTATACTCATCTTATATAAAAGTTTGAAAAGCTGCACACAAAGGCAAAGCTCAACATTCACTTTTAAAATGACTGGAGAACAGGCATGGATAGTGTTGATGCCAAATTTTCTTTCGCAAGCCGGATATGCTACACTAAATTATTAGGAATTAATGACACTATCATTCACATTTCAATATGTGACGTAGCTTGTAGATTTACCGTATGTTATTGTTGAGCGGCTCTTAGCATGACTGAAATCTTCAAAAATTACTTTTCGCGGTATGCGGAATAAGTAGCTCAGAGCTTTAACTCTGAGTGAAACCAAGAGTGGAACACAATTACCCTTTTTAAAGTCCATGAAATAATATAAATTGGTAGACTAACTTAAGCTTTTCCCGTCACTGGGGACGGGTACTTTTCTTTGTATAATTATATTCTATAGTAAGTTTTATATATTTATAATTCAGTTAAATATGAAAAACTCTAACACCTGTGTATACTTATAAGCAATTATATTTACAGATATGAGGACAAGAGAATAAAGATTTTTTCCCAGTTGATTATTTCAAGAAAAACACATTTTAATGGCTAGGATAAAATATGCCGGTCTCTCTTATGTAAATGGAATTTATGATAAGCATTTCTTTTTCACTCGAACGTATACAGCTGTTTCAAGCTGTTCTCATAACCCTCTGTGGATTTCATTGTTTGATATTCTCTTATTACCAGACAACAAGAAACAAATAATACCCACAATGTTCGTAGATCAGAAATATTGGGAAATACATGTTCTTAGAATATCTAGATGAAAACAGAATCACGTGAATAGGGTAACTTATACACTGCTGCACCATAAATCAAATTATAATCCACATACGTGACTTCTCTGTCAATCTCCATTCATGTGCGGATCTTTAAAGAGGAGGAAGGAAGGGCTGTGTCGTGACTATAAGTATAAACGTGCATTGAGACAGCCTTGTAATGTGTAACAAATTAAATAAATTTTCCTCTTGTCATTTCTATTGAAGTTCCATCTAAACATGCATATAGCATTAAAGTATTGAGTCCCATCTAAACATGCATATAACATGAAACTACTGAAGTCCCGTCTAAACATGCATATAACATGAAACTACTGAAGTCCCATCTAAACATGCGTATAGCATTAAAGTATTGAGTCCCATCTAAACATGCATATAACATGAAACTACTGAAGTCCCATCTAAACATGCATATAACATGAAACTATTGAAGTCCCATCTAAACATGTATATAACATGAAACTACTGAAGTCCCATCTAAACATGCATATAACATGAAACTATTCAAGTCCCATATAAACATGCATAAAGTAGGGAACTATCGAAGTTCCACTTTTTCATGTTAAAATACTTCGTTTTTCTTCCAAGAGTTTTAGTGAAACTAAACATAAGTAAACTTTTATACCAAAGTTTGTAACGGACAAAAGAAGACGTCGCTACAACCAGGGTCAAACAAACAATAATTTATTAAAATATAACATAAATACAAAATAAAACTTACAACAAGAAAGAATTAGTAAGCCCGTGTCTGGCCAATACTAGGTACAAACGTTAATAAACAATAAAGCATAAATCTTGAAGTTATTAATTTGAATAAATAAAGTAATTAGGAAAAAAGAACCAGACGAAAAAACTAATTCCAATATTTAGTGGCTAGATCACGAGGTTACATCTCACGTGACTAGCTATTACCATAAATCTACATAATCTTTCACAACATTAATATCTGTATGTCACCGTTACGGGAAGCTTGTGTCAGTTTCATAATATATATATAGGTACTCTATATCAACGTGGTCTAGATAGAAGGTGAGTTAGCACTTTAATATAACTAGAAATTCACAGTTTAACTAAACGATAGAACGACCAATAAATGAACGGTAAACGAAACCATAACAAAATAAAAGTAGCATTCGCTATCTAATAACTCTATAAATTCGTTGTTGTTGTTTTTAATGTATAAAACTTAGACGAAAAATATCATCCAAATATTGACTACCCTTTAAAGTAACGTTCGAACCACATTCACCAAATAGCCCATATAGGCATTATATACATATAATACATATATTTGTGCATAACACACACACACACACACACAGATATATATATATAAAGAAGTCACTCTAATGAAGCGTATACTAATTCGATTTTAGTTGAAATTTCTTATTAAAATATACAATATCTTACAAGTACAAAACGAAAATAAGCGACACCTACGTCACGAAACCAGTTGCTACTAGTATAATATTTATACTTTAAAGTTGATTCATACCAGAAATTTGAGTTTCCATTATTATATATATATTGTTTGTCATGTCTAAGGAATATTGTATGAAACTGTCCCATATAAATTCACAATAACTTTAATGTCCCTAATATTATAAATTATTACAGGAAAACGTCTCCGACTTCGAAGATGACGAAAAAGAAAATCCCAGTCGTCCTTTTGGGAGCAAGCTCTTTCTCAACTGGTCACATTCTGCAGTTCATAAAGAAATGGAAAACGTTCTGGAATTTTGGCTCCAGAAAGGCGTGGATGGATTTTACATGAAAGGGTTAGAACAACTTCGTCAAGACAACCACACTGGACTCTATGTTGTAATGAAACGGTGGCGGCATCTGTTGGATATTTACAGTAAAGATGCTAATAAGAAAATAATGGTGGTTTCAGATATTTTTTTGAACAAATTAAAAAATGAACGGTCCCCCAACCTTGGTTTAATTCTCGACTTGTGTGATCTCATAGACGTCCAGTTGCATATTTCTTTGAACCAGATAAGTTCCATTAAGACCCAAATTCTTCAGGCTGCTGATTGGAACAGTATTTCTATTAAGCCATGGACTCATTGGCATCTTGGAAGCGCAGAAACATCGAGGCTAGCAACAAGAATAGACTCTAGCTACACGCTCGGTGCGATGATTTTTCTACTTATGTTGCCTGGCTCAATTTCACTGTTTTATGGAGACGAAATTAACCTTCAAAATTCGATAGATGTCACTACTGGGAAGGTAAGAAATGTTTGCAGCAAGCATTATCAAATATTGTAACAGCATTTTCGAATTTATGCCTTTCTGTTTCAGATTGTTCTCAATCTTTGGAATGTGTATCAAAGTCTACACTGTCTATTAAATAAAATGTCCCATTTAGTTTAGAGTAATAATCAGAAAATAATAGTGCTCGAAAAATTAAATAAAAATCATAATTAGAGCTATTGTCAATAAAGTTTACTTTATGAGAGATTGGGGTCATACCAGATGAGGTCGGTCAGAGAAAATTTCCTCAAATGGATTTATACTAACAGTAACAATAAGAAAAGCTTTACAAAGTTCCCCACCCCAAGTGGCTCAAGCGGTAAGTCTGAAGGTATATATTTTCTAAAAACTGGGTTTCGATACCCGTGGTGGTTACAGCTTAGATATCTCCTTGTGTAGCTTTTTGCTTAACAAGAAAACAAACTTTATAAAATTAACTATTATTTTCTGGCAGTAAAAAATAGCTAACGCATGCCTGTAGTCTTATAAGTGGTTAAATTTCACGACTTGTACGTTTTAGTAACTTCAATAAAATGTGTTAGTGATGGTTATTGAATAGATTAATTTTATAGTTTGCAAACTATAAAATTTTTTTATATAAATAATGGACTGAATTGGACTTATGTTTTATCATAGAATAATAAAGCCACTTGTTATCGTTTGAAATAAACTAATAAAGTCAATTTGTATAAATACTTATCTTCGTGGTTAATTCTAAATTGACCGGTGTATTTCTGTTTGTGTATTTTCACAGACATACAACGAAGGTCAGCTGTGCCCAATGCAATGGGAACCAACATTTGAGGCAAATTTCACTGGTAACGGGTCATTGTCATGGTTACCCGTCCGTCCTGATTTTCTGATAAATAACGTAGCACAACGCAACGTGAATGTATCGCTGATAAGCCAAGTAATCTCCATCAAACAAAACTCGAGTTCTTTAGGAATGAAGGCGGAATTTAAAGACGAAAGTGTCACGAGAGGCAAGGAATTCTCAACGTTTTTATTTCACCACATTGACAACAACTTAGTTGTGTTGGAAAGGCATTTTCCTGGTAATAAGAAATATGTTGTTTTTGCTGAATTCGGGGAGACGCGACGAACATTAGATTTTTCGAGGTACTTTTCTAGTGTCAAAATTTTGTTTTCAACAAAGGAAGTTTCAGAGACTCCTAATGTAGGTCAACTTTCGTTAAGTCCAGGAGCAGTTTTAATAGGAGAAGTAGGAAGATAAGCAGCCCAAGAAAAAAGTGGCAAGGAAACTTAAGAGCCAAATTTATTTAACAACTATCAGTTTTGTAAGAATATAATATTACAATTATTTTATTTCTTAAGTGACTAAATCTGATAAGTCACACATTTTTTTTTTTATATAAAATGGTAAGATAATTTTTCTGAATAAGCTCGAAATTAAACATGTTACGTATAGTTGTCAATCATTCGTTTGTGTAATGTGTAGACCGTGTGGAATTTATCTGAACACGAAAGACAAACAACTTCGAGTTTGTTTTTTTCATGTTGGTTTCTCAGTTTCTGTAAAAGTTACGTCTTTCTATGTTTTCACTAAATTAATTTGTCTGTCGACAGGTAATGTAACAATTCCCTCTGAAATCGAACAAATTATGGAATGACACATATCGTAATGTTTGGACCTTCAAACACCACAGAATTTCTCGCAATGTTTACTCATTCTGATTTTTTTTTCTTTTAGTTTTATGTTTAACTCAAACTTGATATATTTATTTTACTGGCACGAACATTGGTAGTTAATTATTTATTCATTTTTCTAATCAAATGCCTGAAGTTAAGTTCATATGAAATAAAATGTTCTTTCAAAGTTAAAGATTAAAAATAACTAATTTTTCTTTACAATCGTTTTTTTTAGAGAGTGTGGAAGTAATTCATACTATTTTCTTCTGCGTTTGGTCGGTGAAAGAACTAATGTTCTTTTGTTAAAATAATTATTCAAATAATCAGTCACACTCATATGTCTAATAATGAACAAGACTGTTATAGAAAAAAAGGAATTCATATTTACATTTGTGGAACATATATACTTAATTCCTTCACAGTTTCAATTACGATTATATTAATTTTAGTTAATTTTTTTTGAGTTGCGTTAATTACAATTGTGTTATCATTTAGTCACTAACGTGTTCCATGTGAAATATTGAAAATAAACTTTACCGAATTCCTAATAAATAATTCGGTATACATATGTACATATATTTTGATCTTCTATAACTGAACACGTTTGTGTGACACGTAGTAACCTTAACTTACACTGAGTTAAATCATCTGATAACTGGGCACTGAAAACCTTCAAGACTCCAGTCGGTTTTGTCGATTTGATCCTTTCTTGTACTGAAAGTTATTTTAGGACAGAAAAGTTGTTGGTAGCAAAAAAAAACAAAAAAAACTTAATAATTGTTCCCACATTATCATAATCACACACATATTTCTACATATAAAACAGATATATGTCATGGTTTTAGAAACTACTGGATTACATAAAATTGTAAAAACAGTACTCATTTTACAGGCTCGAGTTTATTTTGGCTGAAGAGTAAAATTAAAATTTCAAGTACGTGTTATTCAGTTAATGCCAACTCCGAGCCAATAAGATTTAAAGAACCCAAACTTGTAAAATCTATTCACAAGATAAACTTCTACTGTAACTCAGAGTGTTATCATCTGTATGTTATCGAACTAAATGACTGGTTTCCATGACATTTGTTGAATAATTATTTTCTATTGAACATCTTAGTGCCACTGTTTATAAACATGAAATTCAAACATCATTTGGGATGACGTCAAAATACATTCACAAGAAGATTTGTTCAACTGGTGAAAAACAAAAGTCAAGATCTATACGGTTAATGTATTTTAGTTTGTTTGTATTTTTACTAGCTAAGGGTACCTGTTAAGGAAGCAAAAATTGTATAAAGAATAATTTTAGATAATGTTCCCTTTCCTTCTTTCTTTTGTTATTAAACCCCTAATGACCTCATTATATGCTAATTGCATGCCTTGCTGTGTAAGAGGTAGTAATTGACTTACTTAACTGATTAAGTACTTGTGTCTTTAAATTCAAAGCCAGAAATATACACACAAAAAATGGAAATGTGTCCTATTTCAGAGGATTTTTTTATCTTCCTTCTAGGGCAAAAATCCTGAAACAAGTAGCCCATGTACACCGTGTTACAGTTTCCGGTTATCACACAATCATTTCTGTAATCGATCCAATCAAATGTGGGTGGTAGAAACAAAAGTCTACAAAAGAGTGGAAGTGTGCCCTATTTAAGGGACTATTTTACATCCCTTATTGGGTAAAAATCCTAAAACAAAATAACCTATGTACGCCGATTTGTTTGTTGTCGCTGTTAAGCACAAACGCATAAAATGGGTTATCTGTGCTGTGCCCACCACATCGGAACCCGGTTTTTAGCGTTATAAGGCTTCAGGCTTACCGCTGAGGCACTGGGGCATACACCATACAATAACTATGATAATCAAGGCTGCAAACTCTGGGTGGTGCAAGCCAAAAGTTTATAAAAAAATGGAAATTTGTCATATTTCAGAGAGTTTTTTTATCTCCTTCTCTAGCAAAAATTCCAAAATAAAGTAGATCTTATACACTGTTGGACATTTTCAGTTACAATACCAAAAAGGACCAGTAATCGAGCAACCCAACTCTGGGTGGTGGAAGCCAAAAGTTTATAAAAAAAATGGAAATATGTCATATTTCAGGGGCCTCTTTATCATTCTTCTCGGTCAAAAATCCTAAAATAAGGTAAACCTTGTACACTGTTGGACACTTTTCAGTTACAATACCAAAAAGGACCAGTAATCGAGCAACCCAACTCTGGATGGTGCAAGCCAAAAGTGTATAGACAAATGGAAATATGTCATATTTCAGGGGCCTCTTTATCATTCTTCTCGGTCAAAAATCCTAAAATAAGGTAAACCTTGTACATTGTTGGACACTTTCCAGTTACAAAACCAAAAAGTATGATAATCAACTCTGAATGATGAACGCTAACATACATACATAATAGATCATCTTTATAGTAAGATTGTTTATGGCACTGTAGGTTTACTGTTAATGCCCAAAAGAATGATTCATTAAAATGTTAACTTTTTCAGTTTTTATGTACGTAACTTTATTTTCCTACCTAATCTATTAACATTAACTAAATCCATTTTTTACTTCTTAGAGTTTTAAAATATAGTAAACTTTGTAAATTTCGAAACTTATGCTTTAACTCAGTTGCTGCTAAACCATAAAATATTTCTGTTAAAGTATTTTCCCACTTACTTCTCTAGGTGACTTCATATATCATTCTAAAACGTTATTATTACCAATTATGTTCATATATAAAATGATGAGAACGTTCACAAACTTAAGCCTTCCAGTGACTCAGCGGTAATTTTGAAGACTTATAACGCTAAAAACCAGGTTTCGATACTCGTAATAGACACAGCAGAAACAGCCCATTGTGTAGCTTTATGATTACTACAATCAACCTCACAAACCTAATGAACAATTTTTAATAGGTATAATTTATTCATTTTTCTAACCAGGTTTTCGATTTCTGACAATAAGTATTACTGATATTTAAATGTAAATCAACTATGTTCGTTAACATAGATTGATATCTGTAATCTGTACCATAATACCTATCATATATATATACAGTACGTTTAAAAATTACCTGGAGGGTCAGTTTTAAAATCTGTAACCATAATTATCTTGAAAAGTGTCATTCTGATTAATATAATAGAGAAGTGACAGATTATTGTAACAATTTAATTATGGTGAAAGTACAGCACTGGTTGATTAAGAACATCTTTAAAAGTCCATCAATTTCGAAAGAATGTAAACTAATGGTTGTATATTATCGTTAACCAAAAAGGTCAGTATAATTTCTTAAAGGTCTGTGATAAGAAGAGAGTGGTTTATTTGTGTATTTTTACCTGTCATTTATAAACTTCAGCTCAGATTAGTAACCACCACTTGAAAAGGGAGCTAAGGGAGGAGTACAGCTATTTACGCCCGTCAGATTTGAGTCAACGTTTAAAAGTTATTGCTCTTGTTTGCTGACAGATTGTAAAAAAGAGACACTCAAATTTCAACCATAGTGATGCCAAAATAAAGTATTATTATTATAATAAAATAGGATCAAAGTAGCTTTGATATAATTAAACCTGAGTTACTGATAAATTGTATTAACATTTCATAATATCTAGCCATGAGGTAATAGAAATTCTTTTCTGGTCGAATTTTATGAGAAACCCTTAAAAAGTGTAGTAATATCCATTCACCAGATTCGAGTCGGTGTTTAAAAGTTACTGCTTTTGTCCGGATTCATTATTTTTACAAAAGAGCTCCTAAATTCTAACCTTAGAGGTGAAACATATATGCCTACTAAATATTTAAGGAATTTCTTAATAATAATGCTTAGATACAAATATAACGAGATCCTGTAAGAGGACGCTACAAGTATAAAACTGAACAGTTCTCAGTAACCATATCATGATGTTTTGTGTATAGTTCTAGTATATATACGTATTTATCAAAGGTAAAAACATTTCTTAGAATGTGTTTAGGCTTTGTACACAACGCCGATATATTCTTACCAAGTCTACGTATCTTTTCTAAGGACAGGAAATTAATGACAATGCATGAAGTAGAGAATTAGGTTTTATGTCTTGCAAGTGAAGTTGTATTTCATTCTTCCTTTTGATAATAGTGTTTAGTACATGTATATTACATTTATGTTTATTTTTTCATTCATTTGTTATATATTTCTTATTATACAGAAATCGGACGTGGCACAGTGGTTAGTGTGCCATACTGTGAATCTGAGGTTCCCGATGACTCTAAATATCGCTCCGCAATCTGGGTTATAAGAATGACGGTCAAATCCCACTATTCTATTAGAGTAGCCCAAGTGGTAGTGTTAGGTTATGTTGACTAGCTGCCTTTCCTCTAATCTACCAGTTCAGAATCAGGGGCAGATAGCACAGATAGTCATGGTGTTGTGCGAGAATCCGAAACAAACACATAAGTTTACTATAATTTATTTTTTTGCTAGCTATATATTTGAATTCAGGATTAACTTAGACCTCCTAAGATAGATGAACCTTGTGAGTTATTGCTGGGATTATGGCCAAAACTATCGATATCAACGACGGCATGCAATCGATGAATTAGTACATTCTAATCGTTATATATATATTGCTAATAACATTGCATACTTCTAGTTAGACC